TGTAAATCCCAAATCACCTTCTCACTTCCACTCGAAAATAGACATTGTGATTATTATGTAATTTCCGAGATAAAGAGCTTAGATCACGACTGACTACATGACTGGTTAGGTTGATGTCAATTGTATTAAACCAATAAGTGATGCTCTATAACGTTGATCTGTGACTTACTTTGTGTTCCGTCATAATTAACAGTAAATCGGGTCTCCCCCGTCATCTTCGGATGGTTTGTCTCCACCCCGTGAAAATTTAGAATTCATCATTCTCCTTGTATCGTTTAAAATTATGTCAATTATATTTATATATGCACACATGTATATTGGGTTAGTGGTTCATTTATTTTCACTATTGGGACTCACTAGGCGTAAGCCTAACACTCTTTCTTGAAATGACTTGTTTGTCAGGTTCTTTTAGCGGCGGGACTAAAATGGGTTGAGGGAGCGTGGTCTCGTAAAAGACTTTTTGTGTAGCAAGCTTTTGGTGTTCTGGAGCGTTGCAATATTTGATGATACGGCATTTTGTTGAAGACGATAGAAACATCCGTCCTTAATCTAGGCATAGGATTGTTTAGATTAATAGGTTGATATTTATCGCCTCTTTAATTGTTTTGTAAACGTTGTACATTTTCCCTTTGTTGGTCAATTCTTATTAACTCTAGTTTTCACTTTGCTTTTTGGGTTCAAATTATTTCTTTCCTTATTGTTTTTTTAGGGTGTTACATAATATCATAAAAAAAATATAATATTATAATAAACAAAAGTAATATGTGTTACATCTAGTATTTTAATTAAAACACGTTATGGTTACAAAATATATCAAAATAAGACCCCGGGTCAACATGTAATACAAATTTGAGTCGGCCAAGGTCATAGTTTTTATACACCAAGTGCCAAACCCACTTTCATTCTTCTTCCTCCATACATATTATATATACATTTATACACCTAATAAATAAGTAACTTTGTGCGATGGTTATTGACTTTTTTCGCCTAAACATGTATCTAGACACAATTTTCACTTACGGTTCAAATAGGTCTATTTAAGTGATATTTGTTCCTCTACACGTTTATTTTCTTGTTTTAGTGGTTTAACTGATTTCTCAAACTAATTAGAAATCTCTGATATGTTTTCTATAGTTTCTAAATCTGGAGGCTTTTTTTCCAGACTTAGAAGTCTGAATGTTGAACATGTATGTAAACACAATTTACATTACTGGTTCAAATGGACCTAGAATTGACATATGTCCTTGTAAACATAACTGATTTTCGTATGAAAAGGGATTTCTTTTCAAATACTTAAATAAGCAAAAATTTGGATTTCCATTCCTCATACTTATAAGTTTGAACTCCTTTTCCTCAGTTAAAATTCAGAGTTGTCTGTCAGACTTATAAGGCATACCAGTATAAAAGTCTGAAGACAAGTCTGAACTCCTTTTCCTCAGTTAAAATTCATAGTTGGCTTCCAGACTTGTAAGACATACCAGTATAAAAGTCTGAGGACAAGTCTGAACNTAAGACATACCAGTATAAAAGTCTGAGGACAAGTCTGAACTCCTTTTCCTCAGTTAAAATTCAAAGTTGTCTTCCAGACTTGTAAGACATACAAGTATGAAAGTCAGGGAAAATCAGAGTTATAAGTCTGAATTTAACTCTGAAGTGGCCTCCAGACTTACAACATAACTCTGGGAAAATTCAGAGTTGTAAGTCTGAATTTAACCCTGGAGTGACCTCCAGATTTACAACATAATTCTGGGAAAATTCAGAGTTGTAAGTCTGAATTTAACTCTGGAGTGGTCATCAAAACCGGGTTTAAAATTTCAAATTCGGATTTTTGAAGCATTTTTCACAAAGTGTCTTATAAAAGCTCTAACACGACATTTTGTTTCAAAAGTGTCCTAAAACACCATTTAGACTATTTGATTCCAGATAGAAGCATTTAATCATTTGAAGTTGTAATAATTATTTCTTGATAATATATTTTTTTTATAATCAACTTGTTTCATAGATTATTTGATTCTTAAACAAAGCAATGTTATCTAGAAGAAAAAAACTAATTAATGAACGACTTAGAGTCATAATAATCTAATTAAATATCCTTTTTAAAATCCGCATCCAACCCCTGTCCCCAGAAGATTTTCTTTTTTCCGTCACAATCAAGAACGTGAACGTCATAGGATATGACGTCATAACGAATCTTGATGAATTTATGTAGGTTTTAGTGTAGTTCATTTCATTTGATTGTGTTTGAAGTTATGTTCATATGATCCCTGACATTTATATGATTTGTAACTGAAACTCCCTCGATTATCGTAATCGATATTTTTTTAAAACTATAAATCGTAAAAATAACTTATAATATCATAAAAAATTACAAAATATTATAATAAACAAAAGTAATATTTGTTACATCTAGAATTATAATTAAAATACGTTATTGTTATAAAATGTATCAAAATAAGACCCCGGGTCAACATGTAATACAAATTTGAGTCGGCCAAGGTCATAGTTTTATACACCAAGTGGCAAACCCACTTTCATTCTTCTTCCTCCATACATATTATATATACATCTATACATCTAATAAATAAGTAACTTTGTGCGACGGTTATTGACTTTTTTCGCCTAAACATGTATCTAGACACAATTTTCATTTACGGTTCAAATAAGTCTATTTAAGTGACATATGTTCCTCTACATGTTTATTTTCCTGTTTTCATGGTTTAACTGATTTCCCAGACTAATTAGAAATCTCTGATATGTTTTCTATAGTTTCTAAATCTGGAGGCTTCTTTTCCAGACTTAGAAGTCTGAACGCTGAACATGTATGTGGACACAATTTACATTACTGGTTCAAATGTGCCTATTTAATTGACATCTGTCCCTGTAAACATAACTGATTTTCGTATGAAAAGGGATGTCTTTTCAAATACTTAAATAAACAAAAGTCTGGATTCCATTCATCAGACTTATAAGTTTGAACTCCTTTTCCTCAGTTAAAATTCAGAGTTGTCTGCCAGACTTATAAGGCATACTAGTATAAAAGTCTGAGGACAAGTCTAAACACCTTTATCTCAGTTAAAATTCAAAGTTGGCTTCCAGACTTGTAAGACATACCAGTATAAAAGTCTGAGGACAAGTCTGAACTCCTTTTCCTCAGTTAAAATTCAAAGTTGTCTGCCAGNTCTGAGGACAAGTCTGAACTCCTTTTCCTCAGTTAAAATTCAAAGTTGTCTGCCAGACTTATAAGACATACCAGTATAAAAGTCTGAGGACAAGTTTGAACTCTTTTTTTCTCAGTTAAAATTCAAAGTTGGCTTCCAGACTTGTAAGACATACCAGTATAAAAGTCTGAGAACAAGTCTGAACTCCTTTTCCTCCAGTTAAAATTCAGAGTTGTCTTCCAAACTTGTAAGACATGCAAGTATGAAAGTCTGGGAAAATCAAAGTTATAAGTTTGAATTTTAACTCTGGAGTGGCCTCCAGACTTACAACATAACTCTAGGAAAATTCAGAGTTGTAAGTCTGAATTTAACTATGGAGTGGTCATCAAAACCAGGTTTAAAATTTAAAATTCGGATTTTTGAAGCATTTTTCACAAAGTGTCTTGTAAAAGCTCTAACACGACATTTTGTTTCAAAAGTGTCCTGAAAAACTTGTTAAGAAGCCCAAAAGCGTTGTATAAACTTATTACAACACTTTTAGATAGGACTCATAAATGTTTAGTCCTATAAGATGGTCTATTAAGACACTTTTGGTATCTTGTAAACTCGATTTTGTCATAATGTGAACAAGGTGAACAGATAGTGAGCAAAGAGTTGAACACCATTTAGACCGGAAAAAAACACATACCCAATCATGTCATCGTTTTTTTCTGTTTGCAATGGGGAGAGAGGTGGGAGATACAGGAGAGAGAGGGAGTGGATCGGAATGTTGTTTTTGTATTTCCTTCACGATCGATGACAATCGAAGCATTGTAATCAGATCCTAAAAGACCCGTATCATGACTTGAAATTGCAATAATCAGTTTGGGTAAAAGTGAAATATCGTCCTATTTTTCAATTATTTAAAAGTCAGAATGATCGGATTGATTTGTATCAGACTCGGTCAAAATTGTCTAAAATGACAAACTATCCCTGACTCATATTTCTTCGTTGTTAAAACATTAAACCATAAACTTAATTTGAAACTTTTGATGGTTTAAAATATAAAAACATAAACTTTGAATGAAATAACCGGTGGGTTACGAATGGCGACCGCTTGTAAAAGTAGTTTGTTGTTAAAGCGTTTAAACGTTTAAGAGACCAATTTGTTGTTTAAAATTCATTTTTGATTAACTGGGGGGTCGTTTACAGGTAAGTTTACCAGCTGTCATTCGTTTTTTCGAGTGAGTATGGCAAAAATACCTTACCTGATAAAATGAATAGGAAGGAACGAGAATTCTTACCTGATAAGTGATGAAAAAGACTTTTATCAGGTTGACGTTTGTCGGGTAAAAGACTGTCTTTCAAATAAAACCAAATCTGAGAGGCAGTTTCACATTTACAAAACAAATGAAGTAAAGAATCAAATTGGTTTTTAATGCAGAAATTCAATTTAAAAGGCATTTGAAAGCTCATGTATCTAAGTATAAACGAAAATGTTACCCAATAAGATAAGTAAAAGTGGTGGCTCTTGCTAGCTTTTGATAAACGACCATTAGATGCAAAATATTCTATCATATCTAATTATGTTTGGCATGTCCTATTTCCAATTATTTTGTACCAATTTTACCTAATAACGGGTTTCTAGCCAACATGTCATCGATTGATTTTGACATGACATTTTTTCACGTATTAAAAAATTACAATATACCTTGACAAGGATCTTACCTGGTTAACGTTTTCCGAGCAAGAAATGTTTACCAACAATCTTTGGTACGATTTTGATGACCGAGAATCTTATCTGGTTGGTGACACTAACCCTGTTAGCATTGGTAAACAACCCCTTACTCTAAACACGTAAAGAATCACCAACAAATTACCGAGTATTTTACATGAAAAACATAATATTCATGAAGTTGTACAATATTTCTTGAGGTTTTTCGTTTTTGCATCAAGAACGATGAACAAGAAACACACTTTGTAATCATATACAACAATACTATTCAAGAACAAAAGATTTGCTTGGAGAGAACCGGTGTGCTGATGGATGCTACCAATTTTCTTTGACGATTCTCGACTTCTCAAGAACGAATTTCCCTTCCTTGTATTTTTGTGTTCTATCGTAAGCTCGTAAATATTTCCAACCCAACACCTCTCGGCAATCAGAGCAGTAGGCATCCGCAACTACGTGCAGACCAGTCATGAGGTGTCTGTTTTCTTTCGGACCTATGGAGACGTTCATTGCATGGGAGAACAAAAATGCTCTACCATTTCTCCCCTGAAATTAAAATATGCAATTTCTGATAAGTTTTTAAGGTCTGTATACATCTTATCCCTAGACCCCACCTCTGGACGGGATATATTGGGTTCGATTGGCTTAAACTTAGTTTCGGGCTTTGAGAACTCTAACCTATCATGGTCAGATTGCATATGCACAAATAAGAATATTCTGAATCAAAACCGACAAGCCATTCTTATTTTTTAAGGTAGTGATGGAGCGTGAGATAACTGAATGAAGGTCGATCCCGTTGATTCTACGAATACCCAGGAACAATTGAATTAACAGGAACTCAAATTTGGGATGAAAATTTGAAAGCTCTGTATTCAAGTTCTAACCATCCAGATACACAAGAAACATGTAAATAAGAAGGCCAAAACGAAATGGGCCTGGAAAAGACCATGGGCCGAACATAAAAGCCCAAATGAAAAATGTAAAAATTGGCAAAGAAAACACGGAAGTGTCTAAAAACATGCTTAAACAGCCTTTTTAAGTTATGCGCCTAAAACGGAGACCCGTAGCAAAAGTTATGTGCGTTTAAGCAGGACACTCTTTGTTAGCCCGGTCATGGGCCTCCAGGAACAATAGGGTGTGGTCTTCCACACTAAGGCCCAGATCAGGTAGCTAGTTTATTTGGTAACCATGGGAGGCTGGGTCAACTTGCGTGCATCTCGGTTAATCTCATGGAGGCCCTGAAGATAATAGCCAGAAAAATACCAAGTGACTCTAACGAGACTCGAACTGGCGACCTATGTGGAGGATCCCCGACACACAACCTGTATTTGCCAGTTGGGCTGACCTTTCTTGTCCTAAGGTGGATAGATATGAACTCCGCTAGAATTATGGAGTACGCCCCTCCTTGGGGGCTCAGTTTAGAAAACATGAACATCCTTCCATACACGGGTTATCTCATGCCGACTTGTTTGGCACGTGACAGCATAATGTATATGAAAAGAAGCATCTTTCTTTTTGGGGATCAATCTACAGGTCCTCAAGTTAATTATACTTGGTCATTGTTCCCATAAAACCAAATGATGACCTCAAATCTAAACACAAATGTATCATAAGGTATTGAAAAGCTTTATAATTGTCCTTCTAGCAAATAACAAAAGAAAAATAAGAACAGTCACATACACAAAAACACAAAGATTTACCTGATTCACTCAGTATAACTGCGTGTATGAGCAAGAGTAAATGAGCAAGAATAACTTCACTAACCCTAAGCATATGGGCTGTGTTTATCGGCCAACAACTATCTTATCAGCTAGTTTATCAAACATAATCTCCGATAGCTAATGGGGGAGTCTTCGTGGCAGGTTCCAGAATTGATTAAATAGAGTTCCCATTTTGTTGGGATTCAAGGAACTGAAAAATGGTCAAAGTCACCAAATTCATACCTACTAATCTTGTAAAGATGCATCTACTGAGTGTCTGTTCTTAAACTCTAGCTACTATCTGCAGATAATTCCATATGATTCTTAAAGATATGCCATCTTTTTCATCTTTTATTGTATGTTTTCTGTATCAGGTTCATACGCACACATAAACCTAAAGAAATTTACATCTAGGAGGTGCAAAAAGATAAATCTTTTCCAGAATATAATGTTATCAGCAAGAAAACACCAAACTTATGGTAAATTGCACCAAGATCAAATCAAGAAATTGGCCCAAATAACCCCCATATGGCTGACCAGTGACTACCAGTGATTCCAGCTTCATGAACACAGATGCATATTGAACATTTATAAAGTGAAACGAGGATTATAAATTAAAATATCACATACCATGGAAGTTAGACAAGAAAGCATTAAAGAAGCAAAAGGGAAGTTGTACTTGACAATTCGTCGAACACTTGATACTCACTAATTCTTGTAAGACCGGATCAATTGTCTCACCTGAAATGCTTTAGAGATTACATCATCGTGAAGGGCGACATGATTTCGACAATTACAGCAACTGTACAATCTGGGGCCAACCATTTCCGCCATTGATGATGAAATACAAGAAATAGCTCAAGTGGGTAAATACCCAAATCGAATCACTCAAACTGAAAAGGGAAAAAAGGGATTTTAGTAATGTTCTCAACACAAAATCGGTGTATATTACCTGTAAGTGGTCCTTTGCCCAAAATAACAAAGATCGGAATGGTTAGTGAATAATTATGTAAGCAAAAGGAAAGATAATCTGAAAATTAAGACAAGAGAAGCATACCCAGTAACTGAAAGTAGTTGAAAAGGAAGAAAATGAGCAAAAAAGATGATGGTTTTTGGTGGATTAACATTATTTCTGCACGAAATCTTCAATCTTGGCACATTCAAGGAAACTCTTTCTTGATTGTGACACCTCATTTCATCTAAGATAACATTGCTCTTGTGTGGGGGTCATCGAGTCGAAGATATTATTTGAAGCATCTAATGCATGTGGTTTGAAAAATATTAACCAATCTCGTTTTACCGGTTGGTCGGGTTAATACTTTGGTACATTAAAATATTTTTTTAATCTTAAATATGTTATTTTTTTACTTATAATTTTTTCTATCACCAACCATTTAATACAATTTATCCATATTTTTACGTATATCACATTCAGTTAATTTTCTCAATTTACATATATATGTTCACAGTTACTGAACATATATACGAAATGATTATATAGATATGTGAATAGATTGAAAATATATGTATATGAAAAACATACATGATAGTGTAATTGTCTAATGTATATATTAATAGATTTCAACAATCATACTAAATCCAAGAAATAAAAGGATACCGTGTTCATCGGGTTGGGTTGAGGTCAAATAATATCAACTCAATACCTACGGTTTGACAATTTTACAACTTGATTAGACATCGGGTTGGATTATTTCGCGTTGGGTTGGTCGGGTTTTTGAGCACCCCTAGTTACATCCATCCCATTTTATTTTTGACATTGCTAAATACACTCTTTCTTTTTAATATCACAATCAAGTCATACATTAAAAATTGAAATAATATCTTTGATGTATACTCTTTTTCTCGAACTAAATCGGTCAAATTATAAGAAATCTCGAACAATGATGAGCACAAGAATGCTAAGAAGATTGGAAGAACTTTATACTTTTATTACTCAAATTATCGATCTTGCAGAAAGTTGTCCCTGCATTTCTTTTTTGTTTGGGTTTTCATAGATTGTTGTCTTTCAAAAAAAATTACTCAGGTTGTAAAAATGTAAGAGTGTATTTTACAAATGAAAGGTTACGTCTATTTATACTACTCTATGGAACTATTTAAAGACTATTTAGATATATGTATGGATTTTTCCCGAATAACCTTGTGTCCCCTCTTAGACATTCTTTGACAAAAATAAGCTAGCTTATTTTCTGGGTATCCGTTTAGAAGCACATAAGCTACCTTATAAATTAGTTTATCGAAATACTACTTGTAGTAGCGTGTTGATAGTTTATTGTCGCTTGTTCAAATTATACACTCATTAATATTGATTATTATTTTGATAGAGAGGGAGGAGGCCCCTCTTATCAAGAGAAAAACGCTAAACGCTAAAAAGCAAACAGATTACACGCTCGGGTGTTAATTAATAAAATTTAAGTACTAGAAATATTAATAAATACTAATTAATATAATTATATATTATACATTAATATTATTAATCATATTAATTATTTTTATATTATTATTTTTTTAATTATTATTAAATACATTTTTAAAAAAATATTAATCAATTAGGATATGTAAGATAGATCATTTTTATTTTTATTCATATTATATGTAATGGTTAATTATTAATAAATATTTGTAAACAATTATATTTTATTTTACATTATATTATGAGAGTCTTTTAATCATTCTAACCATTTAATTATTTTATACTAAATCATTCAGCAACTATCAAACTGAATTAGACTATATTGGTCAAACCGGAGAAAAGCAGGCTAAAAAGTAAAAAATATTGTCGAAAACAACTACTTTGATAAAAAGGAAAATTCCCTTGATAATCGATTCAATAATGCATAAATTCTGCTGCTTGTCTTTCTTGATACTGGCAAAAGGTAAACTTTAGAACACAAAATCTTGTTTCAATATGGTACAAATAAATTTCACATAATATAAGCTTTGAATCATGGAATCTTGAATCAATCTACGCGACATTTCTTCCTACATCTTGCCACCAACTAAACCACAGACTACAACTCCAATGGCAACAGACATGAACATTGATCCTTCGATCGTCTGCGATGAAGATGACGGTCCTGACGGTATTCCGCCAAACGCGTTCTGGTAGGAGGGTGCAGAGTCGGCCAACGCCCCACTCGGACCGGAGGCAGGCGGCAAGGACCCGTCTTCAGAAAACACAGCAATTTGAATCTTCTGGGATTTTTCACAGTGGCCTGAAACACCACTGGTGAAGTAAAAAACACCAGGTGAAGTGATGTTGAATAGAGAATTGCCATTGTTCATGTACAAGATTGGATCTTTCAGGTTGCAGCTGTTGTAGGATTCTTTTGTCACTTGAATCACTGAATCTTGGCTTGGTGGGTACAAGAACACTGGAAAAAGAACCACAGTTTTCAGTTCAAGATTTAGAATCTTGATCTATAGTATAGACACAATACACAGATCAAGAAAACAATATCCGATCATTTGTAGCCAAAAACAGAACTTCTGCAAGAATCTAGAACAGTTTTTGGTTTGAATCAAGAACAGAGGGACTTACAGAGAGAATCTCCAATCTTGAAGCTGAGTTTTTTGGGCCAATTGGAGTAAACTTTTGGCTCTGCAGAAGTGGGTATATTCCAAGCTTGAAGATTTCCAACTTGATATTGGTAGGCAAGCACATTGGATTGTATCAAGAAGAAGAAGAACAGAATGGCAAACCACCATTGATGATGATGATGATGATGAACAGTTGCCATCTCTCCCTGTTTCTTGGTTTTCTTCTATTTCCCAGATTTAGAAAGAGAAGAAGAAGAGGAGGAGTTGGGAGTTATAGAAAGATGTTTCTTTACAATAAAAAGGAGACAGAACCAAGTGAAATTACTAAAATGACCCTCCAATGGGGAATAAGATCTGTAATCAGCCATGGTAGATCTAGGAAGGAAGCTACTAATCATGGACTCACCAGCCAATAATTTTTTAGTAAATAAAGAATAAATATCTACTGTGTTCTCTCCGATTTCTCGGTCCCATCAATCAAATGAATACATATCATTGTCAAAATGATGATATGATTTTACGTAATTGATAGACTGTGATGGATACAGTAATTCGGGATAACCGACTTGTATTCACAAGTGAATGGGAGCAAGAGGGTGAGGAAAGAGACAAGAATCATTAAAAAGGAAAACAAAAGAACGTGGGACAGTTGGTCTTAAGAGAAAACATAAGACTGGATGCAGCTCAACATGGAGGTATTCCAAACTTGCACCAGTTATGGAAAATCATGTGCATTTCATTTTCATTTCTAACATTTGTTATTTTTATAGAAATAAGGTCAAGTCAACATACATCTTATCTTTAGAAGGGCTTTTTTAAAAAGTAATTTAAAAGGGTTCACATATTCTCATATGATATGACTGGTATCAGAACCGGAGTCTAGCACCACCGTCTAGCCTTCTTATGAGGGACATATTGGAGTCACACATCAATTAGAACTAACCGTCAAATTTGTATGTAGGAACTTTCCATCATTCTGTGAAGGCACCATCTGCGTCCGTTTGAGAGGCATGTTGGAGTCACACACACCAAGACGTGAACCATCAAACTCGTATATATTATATATACAGGAACTTTCCATCTCTGTATAAGGACTCTTTTGGACAGTACTCTAAAAAGGTTCCACATATCATACAACCGAGTGGCGTAAACTCGCATTCCATTTTTACGCTTCTCAGCAGCAAGAGTTTCAGTGCCCCTAAAGAACCATCTAGCATACAAATGAATACAAATAAAATAAAAACCATAAGTTACAGACTACACCAATTAGCTCGAACAATAAAACCGCTAAACTTTGCTTTCCGACAAAGAAAAACAACGTTGATACATACAAAAAAAAAAACCGCATTCTGTACTAACAAAGAAAACGTAACAACTTAACAAAGAAACCACTGTTAAAGCTACATCAAACTACAATTACTGCATAATCCCCTATCTAACAAAGTACATCAAGCTCCTTATTCTCAACAAGTTCTCAACTTTTCGACCTTATTTCCGACAAAAATACATTGCACACACCTTTAGCGAGATACGATAAGTTGACTTTGACCTTTTCTCTATAATCTTAATCTCTTGCTTTCATCTTGTTAATCAGATGTTGTTGAGTGGTTCAGTCTCCAGTTCCCTCACCTTCTCTAGTGGCCCTGGAAAATACCATACGCAATGCGTACATCAAGAAGAATAACATTTTTTTCCGGATTTAGAACTGAAAATGGGATGATTTAGTAACGAAAAGAGAACGTACATGAACTTTCTGCAACCACCAGGAGTCGTCTTTGCAAGAGCGAAGCAATGAAGAGGAAAATAGCACACATTCCGAACATTATAGAGATTGGGAATGCATCAACCTTTAGAAAGTGAAAAAAGGAGCTTTCAAATATAGCCTCAAATGACCATTTGTGTGTGTGTGTGTGTGTGTGTGTATATATATATATATATAGAGAGAGAGAGAGAGAGGAAAATGATCAAATGAGAATAATAAATATTCTGAGAATCGTGAGAACCAGTATATGCATCGTGCCCGGCCCGGGCCTTGGGGTTGAAAAAGCTCCTGATCAGACTTTCCCAAGCCAGGCTTTCCGGGGGTTTTCAGGCCAGGCTTTAACCGGGCCTTGAAATAAAACTTGACCTGGACTTTAAGTGGTGGCCATGGTCCGAGCTTCAGGCTTGGTCTTTTTCATGCATCTCTGCCTAGGAACGAACTATTCATAAATTTATTCATTATGAATATCGTGAATAATGAAAATGCATGATGCTCGTAATTAATAATATTTTAGGATTATTCATCATGAATAATTCATGAAATAGTTGGTACCCTCATTCTCAAAATGTTTATAGTTCCTCAATGAACCTTTCACACACACATATGTATACATGTATATATATATATATATAGAGAGAGAGAGAGAAGGCTAACTCACGTTATAAAGCACAATGCATACAGAGATGTTGAGAGGAATGCGGAAAAAGTTCATGATAGTGCTTCGGGCCTCCTCAGGAATGTATTGGGACCTCATTTTCATTATAGAAGGCCAGAATAAGCCAACACAGGCTTCAAATACGCAGAATCCAAGCATCTGAATACAACCTGCAAACGAGATGCTTCCACCCTTTTCTGTAGGAGCCACCATAAACTGACGAAAAGAAACCAACCAAATTCATTTGCATACAAAACAGCTTTAAAAGTTATCAAGAAAAACGATATTTTTTAAGATAAGTTTACCACATACACTTGTTATAAAAGGGAGCAATAGAGAGGCTGAAGAGATGAGAAAAACTGTTTGCATGTAGCCCTCGACTCTGATGGATGCACGCCCCAATAACCGTGAAGCGAATGAGCTTCCCAACATAGATGACAACATGAAAGTTGCGAAAACGAAACCATGTGGAATGTCTTCACCATTCGGGCTTAAAGCAGGAGTCCATAAGAAAACAAAAGTGTACATGGAACCTTCAAATAGGGATTGTATTGCACCCAACAATGCTATCTTTTCATCTAATGTCAAGCAGAAGACATGTTAGGGCATGTTTGTTAGCAGCTTAATGAGCTTAGTGGGAAGCACAGTTTATTCGATCAGCTATATATTACTGTTTGGTAGTGGTTAAAAGATATAGAAAGTGGCTTACTCAATAAGCTTTTAGGGGATAAATTTATGCAGAAAGCCAAGTTTTTTTCCACACCTGCCCCTCCCAATAAAAGAACATGCTCCTTCCATCAATAAAAGAACATGCTCCTTCCATCAATGAAAAAACCCTCCCAAACAAAAACATTTCCAATCTCTACAGAAGATTAAGCCACACCGACAGCTTTATCCATACAAGACTTGATAGAAAACCAACCAAACAGCTCCTTAGACAATAATTTAGGAAGTGAAGAGAGAGAGAGAGAGAGAGAGAGAGAGAGAGGGTGTAATAACCCGTATAGATAGAAATTAGATTTGTGAGCTCCTTATAAGCTCAAAGATTGTCGGCTATCAATAACTTCCACCATGGTTTTAAGTTGATTTGAAGGTTACTGGGCTAGCTTTCTGCTTTGGGCTAGAGGCGTTACAAATGGTATCAGAGTGATCCTTGTACCATCAAGTCCCACATGGATAGAATATTAGATTTGTTAGCTCCTTATAACCTCAAAGTTGTGGGCTACCAACAACTTCCACCATGGTTTTAAGTTGATTTATGGGTAGTCGGACCAACCTTCTGCAGTTCTGCTTTGGGTTATGGCCTTATGGGGGCATTAAAAATGGTATAGGTTAGCAATTTTGAGTATTGAGAGTCAGTTTTTAGCTAATATTAACTATGATAAAGTGATTGATATTTTTGCTTCGAAAGACGCACGAAGGCATCATTTTAGGTGATTTATTTTATATTTTGTTATACGGGGTTTTGGTTTATGCCCCCCCCCCCCCAAAGTTGTATCAATTTTGTTATATTTAATAAAAATCATCATCGGTATGAGCCGCCTAGCTTGACTAGGTTCCAAACCCCTTCAAATAGTTTATTTTGTTTTTTATATACATATATTAGGGGGATCTTTTTGGCTTTTCGCCATGGACATCCGTAATCCCAGGATCGGCCCTGCTTCTCCTTTGGGCTATGGGGGCGTCACAAATGGTATGAGAGCCGATCCTTGTATGATCAGCGTCCCACATTCCTAGATAGATAGAAAACTAGATTTGTGAGCTCCTTATAAGCTCAAAGTTGCAGACTATAACTTCCACCATGGTTTTAAGTTGACCTGGAGGTTATTGAGTCATTCTGCTATTTTGGGCCATGGAGTGTTACAGAGAGAGAGATTGACCGGATGCAATTGCAACAGCAGCTCCCCTGAATTGTGTCAACAAGTCCTTGCTTTCGGATGGATCACCATAATTTTCAGTCCAAGATGATAGAATGATGGCCATACCAATGGCAAGCAAGCATGAAGATGCATCAAAAGGAGCAACGGGTCCTAGAGCTAATGTGTCGACTAGTAGATTCCCAAACAAACCAGCCAAAATGGCAACAAGGCCATTCCCAAGAAAGATTGCCTCAGAGAATGTTAATGACAGCCATTGTTGCTCAAAACCCCTCTGCAACATGACAAGAAAAGATAGCTTAGAAACTAAAACACACAAATACGATCACAACTCTTCATGACGGTTTAGAAGACGATGCAATGGAATGAACATGTGAATCCCAGTGATATCCTTCTTTTATGTGTTATCTATAACATTAATCTGTGAGAATATGTGGAATTGTATTAGATTATTCTCAAAAGAGCCCTTGAGGAGAGAATGGAGGTTCAAATCAAACATATATTAAAAGAACAAGTTTCTAGTATTATATATAGAGGTGGTTTCATTTACAAACCCAATCATTAGTACAAACCAATCTCAACCGTTCATCTAATATCTAGATTGTTTCCTAATATAAAGTATTGATCATAATAAATGAAGTTATGAACTCTGATAATCTTCCATAAATATCCAAATTATAATAAATAAACTTTCATTATTTATGTAAATATCTCAATTAATTGGTTTATATAAATGGTTGGGTTTGTAAAAGATCTCTCCTCTCTCTCTCCCCCTATATATATATATATATATATATATATATATATATATATATATATCGAATTAGGTTCAAACAAGAAGGCGGTCAATTTGCGAGAAGGCGAAGAGTTTCAACATCATATATGATTACACTTGATACGCACACTTAATCATGTATGATTAAACACTTGTTGCGTTGACTAGCACATAGCGGGCGACCGACCTTTTGTTGTGTTCACCAAGTCACTCGCGTCCCTATTGGATGTGTTTAATCATACATGATTAAGCGTTTGTATCACGTGTAATCATATATGATTTTGGAACTTCTCTCCTTCTCACAGATTGATCAACTTCTCGTTTGATCATATATATATATATAGGGTTGGGTTCACGTGAGACCAGCCTGTTTTCGTGAGACCCGTGAGACCACATTTTTACACATAAACTTCACAGCAAAAACGCTGTGAAGGTTTAAAAAAGTCGAACATTCACAGCAAAAACACTGTGAAGGTTTTAAAAAGTTACCTTCACAGCATTTTGCCGTGAAGTTTCAAGTGTAAAATGTTGGTCTCACGGGTCTCAAGAAAACAGGCTGATCTCACATGATCCCAAGTCTATATATATATATATATATATATATACACACACACACATACACACTCTCTTTTCACCTTGTTGTGTTCAGCAACCAGCCATGACTCAAATGCTGAAAAGAGGAGAGAAGTAGCAATCCCTCCCAATATCCGTCCGACCATTAGAATTTTGTACTGAGGTGAATGCTTGGTGATGCAGCTGAGAATGTAGGTGATGCAATAAGTCATTGAAGCCCTTTTCCGACCACTGAATCCAATACAGAAATTCTCAGTTGAAGTCGCTTTGATAGCAATGTAAAATTGAACAATTCAAAGAAAAAGAATCCGGGAACTTACTGTTTATCAGCCAAGGATCCAACAATTGTTCCAAACAGCATCGAAGATCCAAAACCAGCAATAAAGAGCTGACCAATATCCCCCTTTTCGAACCCGTATGTGGTATAAAGATAGTAGACATATGGACCCTGCAACCAATCACCAGCTACAGCCACATGAAATCAATCGTCAAAGGAGGGCTCAAGCGGAAATAAAACAAGATTAGCTAGGCAAACAGATATCGTCTTTTTTAACTGTGGGTGTATGAGCCAGCTTCTACATATCTCGACTAATCCCATGGGGTCCTGGATATAACAGTTAGGTACAAGTTTGGTATGCAGACAAACAGAACAAAGACTTGTTATCCCATGTTTCGTGGGACAAAAACGCACTTTTGTTTGTCCCACCAAAAAATCTAGGAGATGGGGACAAGATTGGTAAATTACTAAACTACCCATGACAAATTAAAACTCTAAAACCTTCCGCAAACTTTCACTTTCCATAATTCTTTCACCCTCATTTGTCCGGTAATTAGCACATGAATGAATCTATAAATGGAACAAGACTCTATTTTTTGCCTAAGCAAATTGGCACCTCTTTATAAACCCCCATGAGCAAAGTTGCAATGCACCATATCTACAAGTTATTTAGTAAATTCAGCCAGCTTTTTTCGGAATCTGGACCAGAAATTTCTGAATTTTTTTTGGCTTAAACCATTCCTTTATATCAATTGTGAAGTATCTAATATCTATCACACAATTCTGTCTTGTACGAGTCCCACACCAAGAGGATGGCAACTCAGACTGGAGAAGCTTAACCATTAAGCATTAACAATCACATTTTCTTCAAAAAAATCCGTTGGGTTTTCTCAATCATCAAAGCATAATGCACTTATCAAACTGACTCCTAAATTGTAAGAAATTGAGATATATACCCAATTAGTTCCATATTGATATGGATTCAGATGATGCATGCAGTAATTATCCTAATTTTTACATAAATCTTTAAAAACCCCTAATCCAATCCATCCTCATAAATCTTTCAAAACCCAGATCAAAATCATCCAATCCAATCCAACCTCGTAAATGCGAAATCACATGCGGGTGATTAAAATCAAGAGCAATTTGATCACAAATGCTGAGAGATAGAAAACTTGGTAAGATATTAAATTAAGAAGAAATGTAAACCTACCCATCATGAGAGAATATACAAGAAGGTAATTGTTCTTAAAGGAATTGAAAGCAGAAGAAGTATTGATTCGATCTTTGTTGTTTTTGCTGAGCTCCAATGTTGCAACGATAAGACCTAAACCCCCAAAAACTAGCAAGTAAAAGAGCTCCATGATTATTGATTCTTGACCTCTGTCTCTGCGCAGAATGAAGAAAACCCCAAAAGCACAGAGACACTGGAGAGTTGAGGGAGAAGAATACAAGTATAAATAAGAGCCCCTCGGTTACAATTTTAGTTTGTCTCAAGATCACTCAACATATAGTCGTCATGGTGCACTCTAACTTTAAGGCACGTGTTTTACATATACAACAGGAGAAACCATGACTTGAACATCTTTTTCGTCTATTTGATCGGTGAGGCAGGCATGAGGCAACTCCTAGCTGAGGGTGAGGAACGTGAAGGAGCGAATGGTTGAGGGTCAAGTAAAAGAGAGCTGATGTTTGTTGGGTATTTTGGTTTGACGTTGCTTCACATCCAAAAATAAAAAAAAGGAGCTACGTCTGAGTTACACTTAAAGATGGAAGTTTTTTTTTGATCCTCTGACAGTAAAGTAAGTTAAGCATATAACATGACATGATTTAACATGCAATATTTGTAATACGATATTTAATATTTCTTATCTTTTTAATGTTTTATTTGTTAGTTTTTAATGTATAACTTAATTTAAGTTATTTATTATCATTGACTCATTGAGTAATACTAGAAAATATATGTTTATATATATAATATTATATATGATATAGAGACTTGTCGTCATAAGTAACGTCTTGAAAATCATCATGCGCTTGTTGTGGTTCTTATGGCTTGAGGTTTGGTGTTACCGTCACGTCAAGCCTCGCACCATTTAGAACCTTACTTAAAACAAGTGTCCGCTTTCAAAGGTAAATATTTAATTTTTAATTCTACCTTAATTTATGAGATGGAGAAATTCTCTCTTATCATACTTAAGGGTAAGATTGTTCTTTTGTGAATTAAAAAGTATAATAATTCACATTTTTAAGCATTGTTTGACAAAAATAAACTAGTTTATTTTCTGGGTACAAGCGTAGATGCACATAAGTTAACTTATGAAATACAATTTAGAGTAATGTTTTGATAGCTTATTGTCACTTTTTACAATTATAATTCTCATTAATATTAATTATTATCTATTACTGTAGTTATAAATAAACTTTACTAATATTAATTATTTATTAATATTAATTAATGTAAATTGAAAGTTAATTATTAATTAATTATAATTATACATTTATATAGTTATATTATTTATTATTTATTTACAATAATTATTAATCACATCAAGTATTTTCATATTATTATTTTTTAATTATATTCAATATGTTTAGTTACTAAAACGTAAATATAATAACTTTAACAATGTTTGTGACATAAAAATTAAAATTATATTTATTTTGTTTTATAGATAATAAAAATGTGTTAATAATTAGAATAAAATATTTAATTTAATCATTAAATATATTTTTTGAAAACTTATTAACTAATTAGAATATGCGAGGTGGGATATTTTATTTTTATTCATATTATATGTAATGGTTATTTAAAATCATAAATAATAGATTTTTTCTAAAATTTATTTTAACAAATTCATCAATATGAATACTAAATTGAAAACAATAATTTACTCCTTTTTTAATATAATTTGTTCAGATAAAAAAATTGATTATATTTAAGCTAATTTAGATTATTTCTTTAATTGGTATAAATATGTGGATTTTTAAATTGACCCGTTTATATGAAAAAGATAATATAAATTTCCAAAAAATATTTAATCTTTTATTCTTATTGATTAGAAAATTGATAAAATAAGAACGTAATAAAAAAATTAAAAGATTTAGCTCAAAAAACATGTTAAATTGTTTAAGTTCTATGATGGTCCAAATATATTATGGCCTACTTTTTCTTCAAGATGACCTCATGCAGACCAAAGGGTCATTCTTTCAACGGTGACCGGTAGATCCCGAACTTCCTGTTGGTCAAAGGTTCGAACCGTACACACCATGGTTTTACAAAGGATTGAATTTTCGTAACCAGAAGTTTCGAGGTTCAATTAAGACGATAATCTTCTCAATGAATAGTGATTTGGTGAATACAGAAAATACGAGCAGGTTATAGTCCTTATTCTATAATCATAAAATAATATACAAAGATCTTACAAGAAAGAAATCCCAGCTCCTCCTAACATCTATAACAAGTCCTTTCCACACTCTCAGAACAAAAAGGATCTGAAGCCAACCAATTACACACAAAAATCGAATTCTATCCCGTTATTATGCCTGCTAAAACGTCGGTCTTACCGCGTGCAAAAATCGTGTAAACTAGCCGAATCGCATCAAGCCATGTATCCAGATATTCCCATGAGTCTGCAATCTGAGGTATAACAAAAAAGAACGTAAGAAGAAACCAAACAAGCCCAATATACTCCTAGAGGTGGGGTGCAACATTCCAAAACAACAGTACCAGATATTATCTGCTTTGTCCACTCCTGGACTCAGTTTTTTAAAAAGTGTCTGATAGAGGAGGTATCCAGTCCCTAATAAGGCGACTTTTGTTCCCCTCCCCAACCGATGTGGGATCTTACATGGGGTGTGGAGGGTGGGATGCGCACAAATTTGTCTTCTATCCAAAGGGATAGTGCGGTTGTTCTCATGAAAGACCCCGAAGCTTGTTCAGAATATACAGAAAACGTAATATGAAATATTTAAAATTCAAGCAAAACAAAGATTAGAAAAGATTCTAAAAGCCTCACAACTTCTAAGTGGCAGGTAATCCACTAATTTCACAGAAAAGCTGAAGATAGTTCTCAAGAATCACCCCCTCCCCTTTCTTTCTCATTGTTCTCCGGTGGCCTTTAGGAGACTCAAACTGATGAACTGATTGAATAGCGTCATGAACTTGGTTCTTTTTTAGAGCATGTTTGTAGGCAGCTTAATGAGCTTATTGGGACTCAGCTTATTTTGTTCAGCTATACATGGTTGTTTGGTGGTGACTTAATGATATAGAAAGTGGCTTATTTGGTAAGCTTTTTTTTTTTTTGGGGGGGGGGAGAGCTTTATGCAGAAAGCCAAGATTTTCCAAACCTGCCCCTCCAAGATACAAGTTCCTTCCATCTATGAGAAAACCCTCCCAGACAAACCTTTCCAATCTATACAGACAACTTATTCCATACAAGACTTAATAGAAAACCAACCAAACAACCCCTAAGTTTCTGTTAGGAATATTCATTTCTTATGAAATCATATTGCATGGTAAGTAGTGATGCATGTTCACAAAAAGTTCATGTAAACCACACTACTGTAATGCATGCCAGTAAAGCAAGTGGATCTAACAGTCCGATCCCCAATTTGACCAATAATTCTCAATGTCATTATACAACTATCCTTCCAAAAGCAAGGACAGAAAACAGATAACATGCATATGCATCATAGCACATTTGCAATTCTAATTTTCAAGAGAGAAGATGAGAAATACCAAGAATGTTGGTCCATGAATCGTATCGATGCAGATGGAAGGACCAGGTGGTAAAGTCAGATCTGCACATGCTGATACCGAGACAATATCTGGGATATCAACTTTAATAGCAGGTCTGCCGTTACTTGATTTATCTCCAGATATGGAGGTGTGTCGTTGCTCATCATTGTGGATCTGTCACAAATTAATGCTAAATCTCAGTACAAGAAACATAACTCATACCATATCCACATACAACAAGTGAAGTTTACTAAAACACAGGCCTCCACATGAACCTTTGTATGATGCGTCTCTTATTTATCCTTCATAAATAATACTCTTCAAGTTAGAAGATCAAGAAATATATATATATATATATAGAGAGAGAGAGAGAGAGAGAGAGAGCCTTGTGGCGGTCTGCATACATGAGAACGGCGTTTGGGTTCATTTTTCAGATTTATCATACTTAAAGCTTCTTTTTAAGATATTAACTTGGATTTTTTATAAAAGGGAGATCATTTAACTTAATTTGACCCAGAAGTACTTTGTTCATTTGAAAAGTTCAGTGTGATGATTGCACCAATGAACTTAACTGTGGCTAAATTGGGAAAACTAGAATAGATTAATGGCCAAGACCTTATCCACAGATATTACAGGGAAACCTATATACTTGGAGCAAGATTACATAACCGAGTTTCTAAGTTAATCACAATTAAAATGATTACTATTTATATAACAATATTTCCAAGTTACATGGAACCCTAGACTAGTATAACATTATCAGAAACAAGAAATTCACCAAAAAGGACTGTTACTAGCAAAGTAGCTAGAGCTTTTGAGTGTGTATGTGCACAAATTCTCCTTCCATCCTTTATTGAAACACATCAAAAATTCCAGATTGACTTCCAAGATACGGGGTCCAGTAATCAAGTTGCATTTAACTTTGCATGCATTTCGAGGAGTGCCATGGATTCGGTATTTAAAGAGAGTTCAAACGAATAACTAAAATAAACTTAAATAACAATGTGTCACAGGAGAAAGAGAAGATACAATATTGAAGTAATTAGCTGCACTCCTCAGCAATGTTCCATAGTTCTCAGTGTTCTATCTTGGCAGGACAGCAGGCATCACAAATTGGAAGTCTATTTCTTTATCCATTCATCAAGAAAGATAAAAGCACTAGGGTCATTCGAACCTAGCTAGTTAGCTATTACTTATAAGATGGTTTGCACCTATTCTTCCTGGTATCCTGTCCCTAATCTGCCTGAATATCATGAAGACTAGCGATTACAAAAGGTCGAACTAAAAGCTTCTAAACACACAACTCTTGGCAAAGGTTCATAGACATTCGTGCTTAGCCGGAAGAAACATGTCAGCACTAATAACTAAATATCGACCAGGCTAACGTGACGCACTAGAGCAATCACATCTTCAACAACATACTCTACGTGCTTGGTGAAAGAAGAAGCAAAAAAGCCAATGTTTCTCAAATGAATGGGGTACAAAACTTAAGTGCATGCATACATGCATAGATAAAGGCAAAAGTTGTGCATTATCATCTTTCGAAGTACATATGAAGAAATGACAGTACCTGTTGAAGCCCTTCATGGTTCAAAACGAACTGGGTGCGCTTCCAATCCCCATGTGGAGCAATTGGATTTCCCACTGGTGGTGCCGTAAGATATCCAACCTTTAGATAGGGTAGAGGCAGCTAAAACAGAAAGTAACTCTCAGTAATATGATGATTGATGAGAAGTATTCAAGCTGCAGATAGATAAAAAGACAAAAACAAAAGTTTCCCAGTGCTCCTTTTCCCTTTGCTTTCTACTAGTCAAGGAACTATTCCAAGATGGCAAACCTCATATTCTGTAACTAAACATCAGGCTGGAAATTCTGATTGTAATGAGTAATGCTTAGCTATGTGCACTATAACAAAGGATAATTCACCAGCAACCATGGTAGAGCACAAGGAAAACTGACGACAGATTTTGATAGACAGATTATTTTTTTACTAACGGTGATTATAAATTTATGTATCAATATTCTAAATATGACCAGTAATCATGCATACAAGATATAAGGTGAAGCAGGACATATAGATTGTAAAAGTATACTGACCATAGATCGCACAAGCTTCAAGGCACTAGTGTAAACCTGTAATTATAAAACCTCATGTTACATTCAGACCATGCACTGATTAAAATAAGAAGAAGCATATGCATCCTCCATTGAAGGGGTAGGGGAAGATCACTTTAAAATAAGCTCCAGATCACAGTTTCTTGCAGCTGTGTTTCCATCTACCTACCATTAATATATTCTTTAATTTTAACTTGATTGCACATGAACACACAAGTGACAGGTGTTCTAACTATGCTCAATAACCAGAACCAAACTGGTTGCAGCTTGTTAAAGGAAAACAATATGTTTAAGCTACAGTAGGAGATATTTCGATTGATAAACATCAATAATTACTGAAAAGAAAAAACATTTTGAATAATACTTGAGAATACAAGGTACATACTGAGTAATTTGGCTTCAATGCATGAGCAGCAGCAATGTAAATAGCAGATTGACTGTATAATTCATTGGGGGAAACATCTTGTCCACCGACTCCTCCTCCAGTTCTTGATGTGTCTTCTGCTAATCCATACTACAGAGGCAGGATTAATGAAATAAGATCGCGCCGTATCACATTTCCCAACAAGTATACCATTGTATCCGAAATAAGGAACAGCAAAAATATAGTAGACTGACCAGAACAGTGCCGAGGTTGTAAATGGCCCTATGAAAATCAAATTGCAGCTGTATCGCTGCACGAAACTGCATTACAGAAGATATATGTCAATAAAAACAACACATGTTGACAGTATTTAGTATACAGCAGACAAAATCAAAAGGAAAAAAAACGAAACATCTATATGTGGCCAAATGTTAAATGCTTGTACCTTACTGATTGCACTTTTCACTATCGTCTGCTTTTCTCGTGCAGGAACAATTGCACTCAGTTCCTGCAATTCCAAATGATGTTATGGAAATAAACAGACAAGGTGCCTACGAACTGTAAGAAAAATCTTTGACTGAAAATCCATGTGAATTCATAAGTTATGCAACTAGATGCACCTGTAAAGCAAGACCCCAGTTGTTGAGAGCCTGAAACACATTTTGTCAAACAGGTCATAACCAATTAATAAAAAAAATCATGGGTAAAATAAATAAAAATAGATAATGATGAAAAAGGGACCAACACTTGGAGTTGACAAAGCTAAAGGTTTCTCAGAGTTACCTGGGGACTGTTCCAATTTAGTTTAACAGCTTTTTCATAATTATTTGTTGCCTGCAATTTTCAAGAGAATAGAAGACACATTGTAGAATTATTTGTAGTAGAATTACCTTCATAATTTATTTGTAGTAGAAGCACAACCATGTAAAATGTATAGTATGGAAGGAGAAATCATGTTTTGACGGTCTAACCTGCTTCCACAGTTCTTCAGCTTCCTTTGTACGCCCACGCATTTTGGCCCGATCAGATATGGCAATAGCCCAGTTATAATAGGCCTGGAATTGACAATCCAAATAAATTGACATGTTATAAGAGGCAGATTTTGTCAAAAATTTCATAATCATAAATTCATCAAGGATTGTTGTTGGGATGCGAAGAAAAGCAAGCCAGACAGACAAACAATACCACTCAAAATCTGATGGTTGTACCCAATAAAGAATGATTTTTCAATCTATCTCTCAAACAATGCTTGCTACAGTTCTCAAAGGCGAATGATAATACTTCAAAAGGATTGGATTCATGATATCCTAGTGCCTAAACACACTGAACCTATGAAGTTACAACACAAAGATGCAGCATTTGAGAAACTACTTCCAATTCAATCACTTTATCACAGTACAAAAATGTCATGCAACAAAATTAAGATACTAGATGTCATGATCAAGCTAATATTCTATAGGGATTATGATACATACATCATGAAGTGTAGGGTTTAAACGAGTAGCCTCGTCATACTTTTTGCAAGCCTCTTCAAGTAAAGCATCTTTGGATGGTGAACTAGTATCTGAGTTAACATTATCTGCACTTTCCTGAAGATGAAACAGAAAGATAAGAAATGGTGTCACGTATTGTGTTAAAAACCATAGATACTCATATTCTGTCTAAAGGAATACATAAACAATATAGTAATAAGATAGTTTAGATGCACGTATCTAGCTACCAAGTACTATAAAGAGAACTTGGCTTCATATTTGATCAAAATTACTCCCTCCAGCTCACAAAGGGTCCACAATTGACTTTTAAATTTAAGTATCTTCAGGACCACTAGGTTCAAACCTAATACAAAATGTTTCATGAGAGAAGCTGGTAACTATATCCACCATAAAAGAAATATTCCAATAGTATGATCATGGAGCCACAAAGCCAATGACATAGGGCAATATAGTATTTGGAAATTACTAGGTTAGTATTTTCAAGGTCATACATGGACATTGCTGTTATGCACTCAGTTACAAGGCCCAAGCCCGGCATTATGTTTAGGCATTCTAGAAGAGGATAGAAGGGGTAATTCAGTGATTTTGGGAATTAGTCTGCTAGCAGGGAGTATTTGGACAATATCTAGAATAAATTGGTTACTTAGTAGTATAAAAGGGAGGAGAAGGGGGTAGAAGGTTTATCCAGAAAATATTTAGTCTGTCTTGGGAGAGTCTAGCCTCTCAAGCGCTAGAACTTGTTTTCATTTTTAGCTCAATTAGCAATCGTTCGCGTTCGTAATCTGTGGTTCTTCCTGGTTCGTGACAAATTGCAACAAAGGCAAGGTAGGGACGACTGGGACGTAACTTCTTTTACTAGTAATCTCTATACAATCATAAGTGACATTATGGTGTAGCCAGTAATTATCAATTTGGGGAATAAATTGCAGCCAGACAGTCACTGATTCCATGGATACACAAGTTACCTGAAGAACTAACGCCCAATTATAAAGTGCATCATAATCATCTGGATTTCTCTCTATTGCACTTGCATACCTGAAAGCAAAAAACAAAAAAAATTAAGAATAAGTATGCAACCTAAAGGCTCATTAGACATTATGATCCCAAAGACCATTTTTTATATCTTAAAAGCACAACAGGAAGGTGCAGCAAGTGAACCTCTGTGACTAAAGGATCATATTTTACTACCACATATAACCATTTTCTGCTAGCTATGCATCTTTCTACAAACTGGTAAGTAACAGTACTCCGAAAGCAGTTGGACAGAGTAGAAGCACAAAGCAGGAACTACAATAACAACTATCAAGCGATACTGCATAACAGTAGATGAGTATCAACATGAATTTTTTTTCCTTTTAGTTAAATTGAAATTTCCTGTTACCAGTATTATGGGCATTACAGCCTTGGACATTGGTTCAACCAATACTTGTAGTTCTGCTACAGGAGCCTACACTATCTAAATTTTGGGGTGTATGGAAATGGTAGATTCGTGTTTGTGCAATGGCAACCAATAAACTGAGAGGGAGGGAGAGTGAAGAGTGTGTGCTGAGCCAAGCAAAAGAAGAAAAAAACTCAGGAGATCAATTCATGTCTAGACTACAGTCATCAGCAACTTGGCAAAACTGGAGAGATATTGAGATCGAATCCAATTACACGGCCTACAAGCTTGAGCAATATAAACACCAAAAAGATATTATTAAATACTTGATATCGGACTCCCAAAGCAAAGAAGGATGGCACTATTATCAGCACTAAGTCCTAATAAAGCACAACGAACATGGGAAGACCATTGTACTCCCCAAAGTCCCCCCCCCCCCCTTTCCTCTGTTACATCCCCTTGTATCATAAAAGCATGTGTAAGTATGCTCAATTCCCACATATGCTCAAAATTCTCCCTAAAATTCTATGAAAGATCACACTGGAATGGTTCTGATAGTATCTGAGAAGACATCCCATGCAAATTAACTTGGGCCAACCCAACCCATCAACTATATAATCCCTAGATAACACCCTAAGTGTGCACCGATGTATTTTTTTTCTTCTTCTTCCATTGTTTTCTAGGAATCACCGAAGCAATTTTTATATTTCAAAATTTTACGTTCATACTACAAAGAGTTATGTGAATGTCTGTCATTCTTTGATATATGAAAATTGAAAATTAATTTGCAGATTTCAAGGTTGAATACGTTTATGCCAAGGTTACAAGTGTACATGTACCACGATATGAGCTAAGCATAAAATATGAAAATTACAGTTACCTCTTTGCAGCAAATGTAAGAATCCGTTGCCTTGACCGACCTTCCTCGTCAGAACCTGTGATGCTATTGATCAACTCCATGGCAGCACTATTTTTTTCTGTATGTTGTTGTGTGTTTTCTTGACTGAAGAAGTGCAAACACGTGACAAGACAAACAGTGAACACATTAACACAGGCACACAGCTTCTTACTCAAAGAGAAAATACATCTGACAGTGAGAGAGAGAGAGAGAGAGAGAACAGAAGTGCATGTTCATGCTAACTACCTACTGCAGATAGTGAACAAAAAACTGTGTGGTTTTTATGTCAGCCTAAATCTTTTAGTTTTGATCCTGGTAGCAAAAAAAGTAAAACAGTACGAGTTGGAAAATGGCTTGGTCACACAGTAGCGTCCAATACTGCTGCTGAAACTAGGGTCCGTTGTTTTGTTTCACCAAAGCACAAGAGGAAGCAGTTTCATACATCCAACAAAGCTGTGATAACTACAACACAAACTTTTTACCCCGAACACGGAAGCTATAAATGCTAAAAGATGAGTTCTTTAAATAGAAAGCTGCAGATCTACTTGTTAACATGCTGGTGAAATAGCATAAAATAAATTGAATTCTTGTGACGGGTCCTGGGAGAATAAGGTTTCCATTGTAGCACGAATGCATGTGATGGTTTAGTTGCTGGAGAAGAGAGATCTGTGAGCATTTTCAAAGTAGAGAGGCCTGAGGTATTCTGACTCGGTGAATTCTAGAGTTTGAGTTTACCCTTCATGCTAAATCTTCAAATAGCTTACAACATTTGAAGATCATTGAAGAAGGTGCATATCATCCCCTTTGCTTTTAGCATGAAAATCATTTTTTTAATTTAAGTAATGTACACCAGCCTCTATGCTTCTCACCACTTGTGATCACCTAGACACCTACCAATAGACATCATATTACCTAATATTATTCTTTACATGCATTAGGGATGGTCATTCAGTTCTGTCAAGTTCTTATGCTTTCCAACATGGGAGTAAAGAGGACTCGCGGTACCCTCTGCCATCATTGATATCCATCATTCCCTCCTAACACTATTTGCAATCTTTCATAACCAAAGCAAATCTGTAGTATTACATAGACACTAACATAAAATTATGATACTCTACTAATCCAATGCAAAATACCCATTTCCGTTAAGCAATAGCATCGTGTAACATACGGGTTGGTGTAAATAGTCTATTGTTCGTTCAGACTAAATTTGGAGATCCTAACAATTTATAACAATCCATGATGGATTGGCTGAAAAAACTCATTCTTATGTTAAACCATACTGACACCAATTATGGCCTTCCATTACTTGCAACACCATATTTAACTTTCCTAAAACTATGTACCCTCTTCCATCAATCAAAATAGCTTGCTCCCGAGTCCTGACCCTGTTTAGTAATTGCAGTTATCCCACAACTCTCCTCACACAGTCTTATACTTTTCATCGTTCCACAACTAATCGGGAAATGCATATCATAGCTAGAGCAACCAAAACATAAACAACTAGTACTGATCAATAAGAAATTAGGTCTTTTACTGTTGATTTGCTCTAGTATTGTAGTCTCAGCTTACAACAAATTGTAATAAAAATTCAACCAAATCAAATTTGGAGAAAAGTCTAACCTGTGACGAGGCGCAGCAGCAGCAGTAGCGGCGGTTTCAGGACCTTCATCTCCGTCGCCATTCTTCAGTTCATTCAACAATTCTCTCATAGTGAAAGTTCGGCTCCCTTCGTCTTTCTGGAGCTGCACATTGTCCACTGGTTGGATCGACGGTCCTTTGTCGGATTTTTCTTCTTCAGGTTTCGGATCTACACTCTTTGGAGAAACGTCAACATCGTTATCATTGGATTGGATCGGTTGATGAAGCTTCGAAGAATCACCCTCATCGTTATCAACTAACTGGATCGCGGTGCCTTCGGGTCGATGGAGGTCGGCATCTGGTTCCGGCTTGGTGTCGCCGTTCTGTAATTCCGACCGTTCGTCGTTTGTAGACATTGATTGAGATCTAGTGAATTTTAGAAGATTAAGATTGCTGCAGTTAGAGTTGCGAGGAAGCCACAGAAAACTTGAAAGGACTTCCCCCACTTCTAACTTTTATACGGAGTACCTCTTCTCAAAGCAACATACTTGTATCTCCCTTAACCGAACATGGAGGACCGAGCCATCCACCGAGTTGACTTGACTCAACTCCTTCCTACCCAACAACTCAGTCTCGATCCTAAACCTCGATTGGTCCGTACCCTCGGTTGAACTCATCTTCAAAATCGATTGAATATATATTTTTATAATATAACTATACCCGAACACGATCGACCTTAGCTCCAAACCCGATCAACTCGAACCCAAAACAATCCAAAATCCGAAACCCAAAATTCGAGGCTTGATTTCCATATACGAAATCCGACCGGATTTTTTGTGTGCCCATCTGAACTCGTCCAACTCGCCCAATGAACCAAGGGTGTTTATTGGTTGAAATCCAAAAAATGACCCATCAAAGGGATATAAATATCACTTTTAAAAAAAGATCATCAAAAGAAACGTATAAACCTAACTTTAAAATTTTAAGCAGAGAAAGAAACAAATATTCATATAAAAGAACCCTTAGAGCGGATAGCAATGTACCAGGTTTTGGCTTTTCAGACCTCGACTCGAGCTTTTCAAGCACATTTTTTCAGTGAGCAAAAAAAGAGTTCGAGCTTTTTCGAGCCTATACTTTATGTGTGAAAATAGACTCAATCGGACTTTTTCCATAACCGGGTTGTCATGTTTTGGATTTCTTTTGACATGATCAGGTTTTAAGAAATGAGTTGGCCGTGGGTTTCATGCTTGCTAGGCTTAGATTTTTCGTGCATCTCTATCGGTGGAATAATGGAAATCGAGCAGGTGGAACCATTTACCATATATCAAATAGATCTATAAAGAAATAGGGCGGAGGAGGGAGCAACTGATGAGATGTTTGGTTAGAGCTATTAAGCAAGAGTTAATAAAAATAAAAATAAAAATAAAAGAAACCGGAGGAATGGAAATAAGAATGACAATTTATTCATTCTCATTTTCATGCCCTAAGATCTTTATTTTCATTCTAATATCTAAACCAAACATCCCTAACCCTAACAAATAGAGGGTTACCACAAGGGTGGTGTCTTACTAGTTTGAGATTGGATCTAAAAGTCAAAAGTACCGGAGGTCTCAGGTTCAAATCCAATGAGGAATAAGAATCCTCTTGTGGCCATGGAGGTTAAAATGCGGTGACTCCGGACTATCTACAAAGCAGATGGTCGCCCTGGGATTAGTCGGCTTGCATAGCAGGTTGGATATCCATGTTTTAAAAAAAACAAATAGAGGGTAGGGGATTACCATGGATTAAGGGAGGTAATAGTCGAGGAGATCAATTCTTGTTCGGAATAATAACATTTTATATCTTAGCATTACTATTTAAAAGTAAGTTAACCACATGGGTGGTGCCCGATTGGTTTAAACTTGAGCTTCAAATGTTAAAAGTGTCTGGAAGTCTCGTGTTTGAATCCAAGGAGGAATACAAAAATCCTCTTGTAGCCACGGAGGTTCAGATGCGGTGACTTCGGATTACCTACAAAGCGGGTGGTAGCCCAAATCGGCTCGCATAGCAGGTTGGATATTCAGGTTAATAAAAAAAATTAAAAGTAAGTTAGTATACAAAAAATATTAATAATATTGATCTAAAAGTAAGTTAATACACAATGATTGTTAACATTTTTAAAAATACATGGGCAGATTAGGTGGACTGGACCTAAAGTATTGATTGGATCTGACTAGTTTTTTCTCTTTAAGATCGGTTTACGTACTGGAAGGTTTGAACCGATTGATTACAAGTTTGACTATTAGGGGTGTAAACGATACGAGACAATTCATGAGCTACTCAAGATCGACTCGGTCAAAGTTCGGTTAACACTCGACTCGAATGGGCTCGGCTTGAACTCGAGTCGAGTCAAGCTACTCAATATTCGACTCGAAGAGCTCGTGAGATACTCGATTATTTTATATATAATTAGTTTTAAAATATAATCAGTTTTTATGATAAAATTTGTAAAATATAAATAATAAAAATGTCTTATTTTTTAAGATATTTAAATAAAATTATGCATTTTTTAATTATAAAAATTAATTAATTAATTTTTATTTAAACCACAATTAAAAAAGAAAAATGTTAGTAAAATTATCACATATTGGAAGAGAGATGATAAATAAAATGAGAAAAAGATGTTATAAAAAGAGAGGGATGTGAATGAAATTTATAACTTTGTCTTTTTGACGATGAAGCTTGAAGTTGATCCCTCTAGTTTTATAAAAACTAAGAAAACACCTTTAAGTTTTAAAATTTTATAAGAGAAAGACCCTAAAATTCATAAATTTCAATGGGTGAGTTTGGTTCGAGCTTAAGAAATAGTTATCGAGTTCGAGTCTAGTTTTGATTTTTACTACTTGCGAGTTTTCGAGTCGAATTCGAGCTTGAAAATTGGATTTCAAGTCAAGTATAGTGACACTCGAGTTCAACTCGCATCATTTACACCCCAAAATAACCATCCATGCTTTATCTTGTAAAATAATTATTATGTCTCCAAAATAATCATAAGCATAATTATTTTACTCTGAACACTCAAAATTTGTTGTTACAACTTCAAATTGATTTATTAAATCGGGTTGGTCTATTATTCACGTCTATCTTTATCAAAACTTAATTAAATTTTACATAAATATATATAATTGTAAAGCACCATCTTGAAACCACCTACACAAAGGTGTGCTATCTTTGTTGTTACTTCATGTACTTTTTTTGGAAATTGACCAAAATAGTCATATTTTCGATCAAATTCACTTTTTAGGGGCCGTTTACCAAATGCTTACCTGGATAAATGTTTACCAAATCACATTACATTAATGGAAGAATATGGTAAGGACCAAGAATCTTATCCGGTAAGAGCGAGACAAGGACCAAGAGTCTTACCCGGTAAGTGAGGGCAACGACTTTTACCACGGTAGTGCTTACCGGGTAAATTGTTGCATACGATGTCGTTTTGATTGACTAGAATTTTACTAGGTAAGTAAATGATAGTGTTAATTTTGTTGGAAAGCGCTTACCGAATAAGTGTTTGGTAAACGGCCCCTCAGTCACTTTTAGAACCGAGTTCCCACTTTAACCATTGTTTATCCAAATACCTTACGAGTTTGGGTAGAGTTGGTTTACAGATTAAAAAAAAGAAAAGAAATCTTTACACAAACGGGGATTCTTATGCAAATTTGCGTTAAGATTTTTTCTTGTTCTTTTATAATTTGAAAATCGAGTTTACAAAAGCGTAAGATATTTACGTAAACTTTGGTTAAAATGAGAATTCAATTGAAAATTGGTTAATAAGTGAATTTGGTTGAAAAGATTGACAATTTTGGTCAATTTTCCCCAAAGTTTTTTTACGTCAGAACCTAAGAACCAAAACTCGAGGAAATAACATATTTATGCATCGTTTGCGACCACATTGCATACCCTTAAATTTTGATAGTCATTCTGTAATGTATAAAAATTAAATTGTAATTGTAATATACGTTCTTCATAGTTTATAACGAAAATAATAATAATAATACGTGTTTAAATTAAGGGGGTGTTTGGGATTGCTTATAAAAATAACTTATTGACTTATTTCGGTGTGGTACCGGTAATAAGCATTTTTGCGTGTTTGGATAAACAACTTATACCGGTGTCAAACCGGTAATAAAAAGTTTTTGAAGAAATTAAACCCTTCTGACTTATAATAAGTTGAAAAGCATTTTGTAGAAAAACATAAGTTATTTCAAATAAACGAGATTCATCGAACACCATGAGTCTTGAACACAATTGTAGGTGGTAAACCGTACCTTAATTAGGTGAACAACCATTCCAACCAAACCCCATTTCAGCCCAACTGCCCACCAAACCCTTTTTTTGTGTATAAAACCCCCCATTGCTCCTTCACTCCCCCATATCCATTCATACAACACGATCAATCGATGGCAGACGAGCGAGCCGGGGCCGAGATCGTGTACGGAGCCGACAATTGCCATCGACATTCCATCGAGCTCCTCAAGGAGCTCGGTTTCCCGACAGGCGTTCTCCCACTCAAAGATTTGATCGAGTGTGGGAGAGTTCGAGAAACAGGGTTTGTTTGGATGAAGCAGAAGGTTCCGTATGAGCACTTTTTCGAGGGGACTAAAACCCGTGTTAGTTATGCTACTGAGGTGACTGCTTATATTGAAAAATGTAAGATGAAGAAAATGACCGGAGTGAAAAGCAAACAACTACTGATGTGGGTGCCTATCGTTGAGATGAGCATGGAAGACGCCAGTAGTCCCAGCATTTACTTCAAGATTCCGATTGGCGTTGGGAAGTCGTTTCCTGTAATGGCATTCATGAACGATGAAGAAAAGAAAACGTACCTCGAGCAATCGAAGTGAATATTCGAGTTCGAGTTTGAGTTCTCGAAAACGTCTTATCGTATCGTCATGAATGTGTTTTGGTTTCGTGATTTCGTAAATGTATTCCCGGATTTCTAATATTTGTTGATCAAAGTAAATATAATCCGAGTGATTGCGGATTATATTTTATTATTTATCGAGTTGAAGATCTATTTTGAAACTAACGGTGTTGAGTTTATATAAATGACTTGTGTATTTGCTTAAAGCTTATTTTTAAATTAAACGAAAATTTTATGCAAATAGAAATCTTACGTAAACTTATGTAAAAAGAAAAGCTCGTAGAACATTGACATCTTGTTTTAACGATGGCATTAATTTCATTTATATCGTGTGTTAGTTTAAATGAACTTTCAAAGAATCTACAATTTCGTGAAGGTAAAGTATTACAACCATGCTATTTAAGAAAAGCGGAGTTATTGTCACTAAATCTAACCAAGGTTATCGTAGACTTAAAATTGAATACTAAAAACAACAATACTCTAGCATTTCGATTCATACGCATTAACAATGTTTGATGGTCTAGTACGGTATGACGATATCATGTATTCAATAGAACCCAAGTGCGTCCAATTATGATCGTCGCAGTTGAGTTCTCACTAAAGCTAACGAAAATGATAATATGATTACTTAAAATAGAAGGTTGGATATTGTACGACACTAACACACACACATATACATACATACATACATATATATATATATATTAACAATGTTTGATTGGTTCAGTAAGGTTTGATGATATCATGTATCCAGTAGAGTCTAATCGTGTTCAATCATGATAGTTGATTATTCCAATTAGCGATGCCTGCTAATCTAGTTGGGTCGGACGATAGAGTATACTTGATTACGCTAAATTAGATCCACTTGAACTATCATTGAGTACATATAAGATTGCTATTGTGATTAAAAATGGTAGGTCAGGTACATTGATATGGAGCTGGAACTGTTAAATAGCATGAATCTGCTAATTATAGATATGCTGCCTGAAGAGGAAGACCAACTTTATATCATCCGTAATCAATTGTTAGGGTAGTTTGATCAATTACTCGTAATCAATTATTTAAAGAAAATGTAAAATAAAATGAGAAAAAGATAAGGTTATTTTTTTTAAAATGCTTATTTTTAGAGGGTCATGTATCCGAATAAAATGAAATCCCTTGTTTTCATAAGGTCATGCCACCAAATAATCCATCTTTTTTTAAACGGATGTTTGAGATTGCTTGTTTGAAACAACTTATGTTTTTTTATAAGAGTCATTATCAACTTATTATAAGTTAGAAGAGTCTAACTTATTCAAAAACATCTTATTACCAGTTTGAGTTTGACAGCTGTTTATCCAAACATTTAAAAGCGTTTATTACCGGTGTCACACCGAAATAGGTGAATAAATTATCTATACTATATCATAAGTATTTGACAAAAACTCTTAAAAACAATTTTTTATGCATAAAGTACTGTTTATTGATGCGTATTACTTAAAATTCAAGATTACAAGTAAATTATGCATAAGTACAACTTATTAAAGCCTCATGTTTGAATTCGTGTAATTAACTACAGATAAACATAATCAAATACAAGATAAACATATCATTTTTAAATATAAAATATCTAAAGTAAAATTAGAATAATCATTGAGTTATAACAGAATACTTAATTATTATCTTTATAAAAAAATATATTACTAAACTTAAAGTAAGTTATTTCGTTACGTTAAATTAAATTATAATAACATTTTGAATTAAAAAAATACACAAACAAGAACTTTTAAATAGTTAATTTGATACTAATATTGATATTTTTTTACAAATTTTATATAATATTTTCAAATTTAAATTTTATTCAAAAACAGAAACATTATCGCTTTTTTAAAACCATATAAAATCGTGTTATATCGACATGGATAAAAAAAAAACGAAATATTAAAATGAAAATATGTCTCGATGCATTACACGAGTACATTGACAGATGCACATTATAGCTGTAGGGGGCACATGCCCCCAACAAACTAAGCCTAAAAACAACCAAATAAAACATTAATGGTAGGTTTTAAAAAAAAAATTAACAAAAAATTATTAATAAACCCCCAACAATTAAATGTAAGATACCAAATCTAAATTTATGCATCTCATTTCAATTAAACGTCCTTAAGTTCCAAATCTCAATTTATTGAAAATCATTTTATTTTTCTTATTTTGTTTGCTATAATGCTAATGATTTGATTAATCACTATTTTGATTTTTTCCAACTTTTTTTTGCATTTTATTGTTTTATAGATTTATAATTATTGATATTTATTAATTATTAATTTCTCTTTCTTAATTGTTATTTCATTTGAGTTTGTTATTTTGATTTAAGGTTTGCTATTAGTTTGTTTTTTATTTTTGATTTCTTGGTCTTTTGCTATCTGATTTTTTTAATGGAATCTAAGAGGCCGTTTATCAAATACTTAACTGGTAAGCACTTACCGGTAAAATTTAACACTATCATTTACTTGTGCGGTAAGATTTTAGTTCACTAAAACGACATTATATGCAACAATTTACCTGGTAAGCGCTTACGATGGTAAAAGTCATCGTCCTCACTTATCGGGTAAGACTCTTTTCCTTACCTTGCTCTTACCAGGTAAGATTCTTGGTCCTTACCACATTCATCCGGTAAGGTAATGTGACTTAGTAAGCTCTTACCCAGATAAGCGTTTGGTAAACAGCTCCTAAGTTATGGGCCTCTTGCCCTCTAATTTCTTGCTACTAAGGGGCCGTTTACCAAACACTTATCCGGTAAATGCTTATCGGTAAAATTCAACACTATTATTTACTTTTCGGGTATAACTTTAGTCCACCAAAACGACATCGTATGCAACAATTTACCCGGTAAGCGCTTACCGTGGTAAGAGTCGTCGCTCTCACTTACCGGGTAAGACTATTGGTCCTTGTCTCGTTCTTACCGGGTAAGACTCTTGGTCCTTGTCTCGTTCTTACCGGGTAAGATTCTTGGTCTTTACCATATTCATCCGGTGAGGTAATGTTGTTTGGTAAGCACTTACCCGAGTAAACGTTTGGTAAACGGCCCCTAACTATTAATGTGTAGTGTGTTCATTGGCTTTGGTTTTGCCGAAAAGTAAAATATGTACATGACAATATGATGTCTTGGTTTATCCAAAATAGTCAAATATTAATTGAAAGCCAAACCAAATAAGTTATATTTATTCGATAACTGAACCGCTTAATCCGGAAACCAAATAACCTGAAATTGTATTGGATCGAATGAGTTATTTGGTTTAAAAAAAAAAAATTTTTGACACTCTTAAATATGCCCCAATAATAAAAAATTTTGGATCCACCAAGAGTATCATTCGGGTTGTTATAAACAATTCCAAACACCTTTTAATTAGTGAAGATCGACTTTTTTGGTAAAATGATAATTCAAAGGGGCTAAAATATGATTTTGGACGTGAAGATCGACTTTTTTGGTCGATTTCTTAAAAATAATATATACATCACGGAGATGGAATCATTACAGATTACCGGAGCCGGAGCAGCAGCCGGCGGTAATGAGACGATTAACCCCCGAAACAACGACTTGAATCAACAGTTACAGCAACTACCTCGTCGGCCGATGATTCAGAGCAAAACCTAAGCCAAGTCATTAATTCGATTCAACAATAAATCCACGTCCGAAAACCTTAAGTGTTATTTTATGATTCTTGCTGTGTTACTGCAGAAACGCACTTGAAATGGAGATGGAAAATACGACGAAATTGTCGTTGAACTGTAAGATACAGCCATGCAGGTTCCGATGGAGGTCCTAAAGTACATTAATTTGGCGTTAATTGCAATTTATTTTGTTTCATACTTGATTGTTTAAATTCCGATTGTAGCGATGTGTCGTTGAATAAATTTGTAGTTTGATAGATGATGGAAAGAATCCGGAGTTCCGGACCAATTATCCAAGCTTTGGATGGGGAATAGGAATCGTAAGTTCATTCTTAATTGGGATAGTTGGTCCTCTTCTCCTTACCTTGTTTAGTCTCTTTGTCTGTCTTTGGTTTGGTTTTTGTCTTGGTCTTTGTTTGGGGATGTTTTGGTTTTGTTTCCTTTTCTTCTCGCTTGTTGTGGTGGACTCTTGTATCTTTTTGTGTCTAGCTTCTTGCTGTTTCTGTTTTTTAATTTACTGGTTGGCTTGGTGAGGGTGATGGCCATGCCAAAGCTCTCTTCCTTGTCCTTCCTTTTTGCCTTTCAAAAAAAAAAAAAAATGGCTGCATAGCAACAAACCAGATTACTAAGGCAAACCTTATGCCTTCAAGGTTTGCTTCGCCTCTCTGTGTTTCATGGATGCAAGTGTGCATAAAACTACAAACTGATCGCATGGTCTGCAGTTCTCTTGTTTCTGCAGCATCTTTTCATTTCTGGAAATGTCTTTGATAGTGCAAATTTGTATTCAGCCATTGCTCATCTTAGGAATTTTCCAGCTTTTTGCATTTGTGATTCAAGATTCTTAAGCAAGTTAGGCAGAGAGCATCTTTTTTTGGTTGGATATCAACTGCCTAGTAGAATGGAACGGAATTTGCATGGGCCAATGTTTGTAGAGGATTAGCTTCATTCGTTCGAAAGGGTTTGTGATTCCCATTCCACTATTTGTTATATTAGTGCGTGCAGGATGGATTCAGTCACTTGTTTCGAGTAATTTTTGAAGGATTTGATGTAATAATGATGAAGTTTGTATATTTAATCAATATTCATCTCTGCCTTTTGACTCATGCCAACACAGTTTAAAAGAATCAATAGCAGTGGATCAGTGCTAGAAAGTTGAGTGAACTGGTATTGAAGCTGATGGACATTCCGATTTCCTAGTAAGATCTGTGTGTTTTTATCAATATAAAGCATCATCCAAGGCTTATTGAAAGCCTTGTCATGTGAGAAAAGGAAATCAAAACTACTTGTGTCGACAACGATGTCCCTCCAACCTTTTGAGGATCGATCCATGGTGCTTTACTTCCTTTCCTAGTCCTCCAACCTTTTGCAATGTTTGCTTCATGAATATAATTGAATCATAAAATTCAAATCGTGGATGTATGAGTTTGACAACTATGAAAGTATGAATGCAACTGGCCATAGTTCAATTTTGGTTCCCACCATGTTGTTCAATTGTATTTACTATTCTTTTTGTGATAATTTCTTTTTTGCTGCAAATTATTAAAACAAACTTAGTGTGCTTCCAACATGTTATTATGTTCTTCCACTTTCATGCATATGTATTGTTTTTGTGTCATTTATGACTTGCTGCTTATGTTTCGTTCAGGATCTGTGGAGGCATCTTCTGTAAGAACTTGAGCAAGCATTTCCTGATGAAACTGAAGTATATAGGGAGATTCTTGCGTGTCCTGCAGCTGTGAGGTCTGTGAACTTACTGAAACTTCAATATATAGGTGTGTTAAAATGCCATAAAAAGTGGCGGAAGAGCCCTCTCCTATGCCAGTTCTGATACAAGGTGGATAAAAGACGAATAATTATAATTCTATTGGGTTTAATAGAAACTCAATTTATCTTCTGATAAAGCGTCATGACTCAAACCAAACAGTTAGTTGTGTAGCCCCAAACCTTTAGCTAGGATTCTATTGTTTGATATGCGATAATCGTTTACTTATTAATCCCTATGTCAACCAAACCAATAATGCAACCGTTTCTATTTTGGGATATCCCACAACCACAAGAAGTGCAATCTTCCCTTTCTCATGAGAAGTTATTAAGCTTTTTCTTTAACGGAAAATTGGATGCACACCCCACCCATGCAACACCTGTATCTCTAATGGGATTGAGGCAACAACCTAAAAGGGTTATAGTGAACGAAGGCCAAAGGCCACTCAGTTATTAAGCGAAAAGGACCTTTCAACCTTTTGTTTTGTAATACAGGCTAGAAGCAACTTTCAAGTGATTAAAGTTGTATGGGATAGGAAAACCGCATACATCGCCATTCTTCCAATAAATTGAACCGACATAAAGTTCATCTTGTACTAGTGTGTAGTTTTGTTGAACCTTCTTTTGGCATGGATGGAGTACATCTTCACTTGCTAATAATGATGGGTAATATACAAACATGATAGGTTCACTTTACTTTGTTGAAGGCCATGTTTCTAGAACTCTTTCAACATCCAGTGCTAAGCAGGAAATTTAAGTGCTTAAGAATCATGCAATGCAAAGCTTTAACAATAGTATTCAACTAGACAGTGGCACATTGGGATAAGATGCTTACTGGGTTTGACAAGTGGAGCAAATCCATCAATGTGAATAAAATGCTACCATCTTCATCCCACCTGCTGTGTGTACTTTCACATGAATTAAACTTATTTTTCATACATTCTGAACCATTATTGCAGAATTTAACTAAGTTGTAGTATTTGTTGGTAAACTTGGACTAGTTTGGAACTTTGGATGATGCTTTTTCAGGTTAAAAAGACTCATATCTTCCTTTAGAAGATGTGCACAAATGAATATAAATATTCATGAATATCATATGCAGCAACGCAGCAGCCAATCTCTACTATAAGACTTAATACCGAGGGGGTGGATGTTAGCCATTACAAATTATTTACCTACAAGTATAACTCTCATTGTTTCCTACTCTGTTCTATTGGAAAATCCTTTCAACTAACGTGCTAGTTGAATTAATTATAGCTGAACTTTTGACCACCATCACATCCAGGTACCTTGACTTTGTTCTTTTGGGGTGCGTTTGTACGTGCCGAACAGGATGAGACGTGACAGAACAAAAACTTAATACCCCACGTTTGAACTTTGACGTGATATAAGGCTGGGACAGGAAGGGACTGAGTGGGACAAAAACACTTTTTGTGTAAGAAAATAGGTGGAACACAAATTAGGGAGATGGACAATATTGGCAAACTACTCAACTACCCTTGTTAAATTAAAACCCTAAAATCTTCCACAATTCTTTCACCCATCTACCTCACTCTCGCCTGTCCAGTTCCATCCGCGTACCTAATGCACCCTTGGAGTAGAATTCAGATTTACGAACATCCCACCCTCCTAGACCCATGTGTGGGATATACTGTGCTAGTTTAGTTTTTTGTCTGTTTGGTTTATAGGACTAGTTTGTTGTTGCAAGTTAATTCAGAGGGAAGGATGACTTGATTAAGGGGTTCTCTTATCTTTTCCATTCAGCTCTGTGTTGAAAGACAGCCTACTATCAGCGTAAAAGCATCGGATCTATAAATATAGGCCCAATATACATGAGCACCAGCTGAATAGCTTATTCATTGATCCTTGCCGTTTCCAGGGTTTTTTTTGTACCCTTCTTGCCACAATAAACTGAGAGACAACTATATGTTGTCATTCCATTTGGCTGTACTTGTGAGACCAAGCTATCTTTAACCTTGATGGGATTGAGGTGAGATAGAAATTAGGTCCCATCCTAGTGGTAATGCATCTTTGCAAACGACTGGTGGGAAAAATGAAAGGAAAACGACACTCATTCATTCTGAAAATAACTTCGAAAGTGACAATTATATCTGTGTTGGCATCATCTTAATGTATTATGTGACACTTCTATATGAACGATGAAGTGAATATTACACTAACCTTTTCAGATCCATATTCTTACAAGTGTTTAATTAGGCAATATCTGCAAACTTCATATAGCATTCTAAACCAGGATACTGCCAGGTATATTTGGTGTTATGCCGATACGTATCTGCTGATCATCGTATGATACTGATGTACGAATTATTTTCTCTTATATAATATGCAAACAAATTGATGACATACGTACTAAATGTTATTCATTTTCTCTTACAAGACATGAACCATGCATGACATTAAGGCTCCTCTTCAGGCTGATTTTGATACCATTAGGACAAAGACCGCCTCTTCTTTTGCGGAGCAACCATGGGGCCTTGAAGGTAACAACCAGGAAAATCCCCAATGGCCCTGAGGAGACTCGAACTGTTACCTATGGGAAGATCCCAAGGCCTAGCCTTTATCCGTTACTTGAGCTGGCCCCCAAGGTTATGTTGGATTTTCGTCATCATCTATCTTGATTTCCCATATATCATATCATTAGAAAAGAAGCAGACATCGGTAAATTTATACATGTATATTAACCTCGTGATAGTTTATACAAGCGTATACTAGCTGGTAATGTATTCAGCAAATAATATATGTTGAAATGAGAGCAACACTCGTTCAGTAAATCAAACCAAGCTAAACAAACCCAATATATCTCACATGAACATAAGGTTGGGGGGGGGGGGGTTGATTGTACGCAGACATTACCTCTCTCTCAAGAGAGGCTGCTCCTGAGCGACACTCTTTCAGTAGTTCACAGATACTCTAACCTGTAATATTCTAGTATGATAACCTATACAAAACTGCCATTAGAACTCCCACCAGCTTGGACGGTCTGAATCAGACCTGCTCTTATGCTCTTCGGTTTCTATAATTTTACCATCTTCTCCAACATATGAAGTATCACCGTAAAATGGGACATGAATTTCTTGGTTATCGTTTTCTGATAGAACTTTTGAATTGTCCGCCATTGACAGGGTTATCTTATCATCAAAATTTTCGTTACTGCTCTTGTTGGCGAAGTCCGGCCTCATTGTTATGTTCCCTTGCTGCGTTTTCGCTAGATCTCTTAGCATCTGCAACTGTTGATCGAGTCACAGGTATATCTTAATTTATTAGCATAACTAACTGAAATCATGTCGGATTTACTCGGTTGTTTGTTCAGTTGTATTGTACAACCATTAGAGCATCTCCAACGGTTTCTTCTTAATTTCAAGTAAAAGTCAAAATCTCCAATGCTCCCAACATTTTCTCATTTTGGAGATTCCAACAGTAATTATATTATTAAAATATTCAATAAATTTCCAACATCTAATTGGGGGAAATAAAAATATACATCTTTCCCTTTCCTTCCTTCTCAAGAAGACAAATAAAAAAATTTATTTCCTTCCATTTCTTTTCTTCTCAAAATTCGAGAACACAACGTTAGAGATGCTGTTATGGTACCTGTGTCAGAAGGGACTGATTCTCTTCTTTCAAAGACTCCGATTTACACGCCAAAGCCTCATAGTCGTGCTTCAAGAGGTTGTACTCTTGCTCAGTCTGCCTCGACTTTGATCGAGCCCTTCGGTTCTGAAACCATATGGCTACTTGACGAGGATGAAGCCCGAGTTTGTTGGCAAGCTGTTGCTTCGTCCTTAACTCAGGCCTCGACTGTGTCTCAAACATGTACTCAAGGAACTGAATTTGTTCATTGCTAAACCGACTTCGACCCTCGTCCTTGTTTTTCCTCGTTTTAACGGCGGACATCATTCGGAAAATCGGGTAGAAAAGAGGTCAGGGGATATATAATATGAAAGGAAAGATGGAATTATTAGTTGTTCATATAGTGGGGAAACTACTTCTTAGAAGCAACCAGGTGTACCAGTTGAAGTTGACATTAATCTTACCATCTTTTCCACTCCAACGGTCTTTATTGAATTGTGTCCGTACACCTATTATTAGACCAAATGTTCGTTACCGACTGTTATGCCGCGTTTGGTAGCAGACATGAGTCATGACGGTAATATGAAAGGTTTTAGAATTTTATTGGGCCTAGCATCGGTCCTAGGATTTTTAGCTAGGACCGAGACTGGCCGGCTGACCTGATTCTGAAAGGACCAATTTGGGATCAATTCGACACTGGACCGATTTTTGATAATCGTTAATCGTAACTGCACAAACAAAAAGACAATTTTTTTTGAGAAGCTCTTTCAGAAGCTTAAATGGTCAATAAGCTCTATTACGGATGCTCTTTAGTAGGGTATCTAACGAGATATGGTTTGAAAATGGGACCAATGACCCCGTCTAAGGCGTTTTTGTTTTTTCTTAGGGGCCGTTTACCCAATTGTTTACCCGGTAAGTGCTTACCAATAAGAGGTCAACACTATGATTTATTTTGATACGTAAGATTTTAGTATATCAAAACATACTGAATGCAACAATTTAGTGGGTAAGCACTTACCTGGGTAAGAGTCGTAATCCTCACTTACCGGGTAAAACTCTCCATCATTCTCATCGTTCTTACCCGGTAAGATTCTTGACCATTCTCATGTTCATCCGACGAGGAAATTTATCCGGTAAATACTTACCAAGTAAGTTTTTAGTAAACGGCCCATTGCATTTGTTATCTCGTAACATCATCGGGTGAGAGATGGTACGTTTAGAAAGAAAAGAATGATTTGAGTTTTATCTTTTGTTTCTCTTTTATCGTATGGTAATATGTTTCCAGTTTGATTACGTCTTTGATTGATTCGTCTGAAACCAAAATATCACTCTGATACGACAAAAAAGTTAGATAAGAATGAATAACAAGAAGAATCATGTTACAAGATCGTTTGGATATGTTGCTAAGTGCAAACATATTTGTTATGACTTGATGTCGTAACGATTTTTATTTTTTGATTTTTTTTACAGGTTATTTAATCAAATTTAGAGAACTATGCAAGGAATTTGCAATATATATAATATATATATATATATATATACACACACACACATATAATCAAAGAATCATGTGAAACTTAGAGTTAATGTGAGAAATGTAAAAAAGAATCTGGACCATTTATCTTTTTTATCTCACCCCACCCCATGAGTTATGTTTCTCACGAGAATTGATCTGGTGTATTTTATTATTGTTGATCTTCAATTAAAATTGATCTACAATTAAAATTGATCTAATGGTAAGGACAATATAGTACTTTAAGTTACCTTTTTATTATTAGTAAGGACAATATAGTACTTTGAGTTTGAGTTACCTTTTTATTATAAATCAACTCTTTAACATGTCCAGTGAGATGGGTCAAATAGTTATAGAGACCACAACTATTTCCATATTTTTCAAATGGACCATAAAATAAAGTTGCTTTAAATACTATTTTAGCAACAAAAAACCTTCATATATTCACATATCAATTGACCAATGTCAAAATGACCAAAATAACCTTCCTAATGAAACAACTATATGGATATTTTTCATAAAATAATATTGCTTTGTTGGTTAGTTCATTGTTTTTTATATGTGAGGTCATGTGTTCAAGTCTTTTATTGCAATCTTTTTTCAGAAACATAATAAATCTGAAATTAAAAGCTAAAACCTAAGAAAATGATACTAACAGGATTCAAACTTGGGTTTATGATGTAAGAAAAGTCTTGCAAACCAACTCTACCAAGGGAAACTTGATTTCTCATAGTAGTTTCAAAATACATACAATGACACACAACAAATTGATACATGACACATTTCACGACCGTATAGTTTTTTACACTATCATGGAGGAACGAAGCATTGCAATTCCGTTGGGTCCTAAACTAAAAAATTTGTATCTCTTTTATTTACTAATTTTTTTTTACTACTATTATATACTATAAAAATTTGGACCTTTATTTCTTGTGCGTCGTGGGCGTACGCCTGGGTCCGTCCCTGATCTTAAACAAGTTTTAGAATTATAACAACCCGTCCTCACTTGTACAAAGAATTAGATCTGTGAGCTTCTTATAAGTTCAAAATCGTGGATGGTTTTAAGTTAAATTCAAAGTTAATCGGTCAAACATGTTGCTTTGACCCGGGACCTTACAAGAATACAGTTAGATTTGTAATTTCGTTATTGCCGATTTTAACAAAGTTGCAATGATCAAAAGGTGTAATCGAATGCCATATGAAAGGCCATCCATAAAGTTTTTGTTCGTTCATTTATACTCCTTTTTCACATATTTTATCGTTAAGATCATGACTTCAATTATTTTAAGGCCAACGTGAAGGTTACGTAACATAATGGTTCATTGAGGCCAAACCTTTTGTCTTCTATAAGTGGAAAATAACGCGGAAATTGTCTGAAATAATTATATATAAAAAGAGATTTCGCAGCCTGTGAAAGTGTTACTTTATGAATATTAAATTCCTAAAAAAAGATTTCCTAAATTAAAGTGCTACTTGTAAAATCTTAGTTATTTTGGTCAGTTAAATAAATAAATAAAAAACATTTAGGGGTTGTTTGGTAGTTGCTGAATGGTTTGGTGCAAAATGATTAAGTGGTCAGAATGATTAAGAGKCTTTCATGATATAATACAAAATGAAATATAATTGTTTGATAATTGTTTACGATGAAATCAGGGCGCTTAATGGTTAAGGGAAGCTCATGATACAAAATAATTCAGAGGGTTTTATAACCATTAAGAGGCAGACTTTTTTTTCTAAACAAAATTCATCTCTTAATGATTCAGATGTTGTCTTTTAATAAAACCATTAAAAGATAAACAAACAACTCCTTAAAAGATTGACAAAAAAACCATTTTAAATATAATTATTTATTACAAAATATTATAATAAATATTAAATAATACCTAAAATCATAAATTATCCGACCAAACTTTCAATAATTGAAAGGCTTTGTGCATACAAGCTGGCACAAGATTTATTGTTGATTAAATAACATTTCGTTCGATTGATAAAATAAAATATAAACTTTAATATTAATAAATAAAAAATTGTTGCAATTAATAATTAAATATAATATTTTAAATATCATTAGGTCATATTTCTGGAGATCAATATAACTGTCAGGAGTTATCAATCCCAAAACAGAAATATGCATATAAATTGAAATAATTTACAGGATAAACAAAGAATTCTTATTCAAAAAACGTAAACTAGTAAGACAAATCTTGAGGCCTGCACAATCACAGTGTCCTAAGACAAATCTAAAGGATACAACAATCGAATTCAAGTTTGCACTTGAATCTGGCGAAATTAATGTATGTTTGGTGATGGATGTTCTACGAAAGTAGGGAGAAACCAGAGCAGTTTTTAGAAACGCATAGGAGGAGAAGGAATAACTGCCGTTCGGGTTGGGTCACACCAGATCGAGAGACCCAAGGCCTATCTTTTGACCTTAAATATGTATCAAGGAGACCCCACCAACAAACACCACACACCAAGGCCCAAACTTTTAATTAATTCATTTTAAGTTCAATGATTGGTGTATATTAAGTGGATGAGGTTTCCTTGGCTCTCCTATGTGGGACAATGTTTCTCCCTGTTAAGCCAAGTTCCAACAATAACATCCATCATATTTTTCATCTGGTCATTTTAACATGTAACTTAACCTACCAAGTTCATCTATTTTGCCAAACTTTGTTTTTCATTAAAACCATGTGTCGTTTAGTAAATACTTATTAGATCACTTACCTCACCGGATGAACATGACTGAAATTTTTATCAGTGTGAGACATGACAATAATTGAAGTTTTTACCCGATAAGTGAGGGAGAAGACTCCTACTCAGTTAACGCTTAGGTAGTAACTACAAAGAATCTAATTTTGATTAGCGAAAATATTAGATAGTAAGTGAGAATAATAACTCTTGTCAGTAATTGTTTATACTGTAAAAATTTGATAAACTGCTATTTAATTTATAATAAAATATAATATTATTTTTCGTGTTCTTTTTTATGGGTTTTAATTTGTTTTTGAAATTACCATCTCTCTATGTTCTACTCTGTTTTTTTACAAGAGAATATTCTTATATATATATATATATATATATATATATATAAATTAAAAATGAAAAGAAGGGATTAATCCTAATTTGAAAAAAGTGTTTGGAATAAAAAAATAGAAAAGTGAAGTCAGCTTTTCCACTTTCCAACTGCTCCTGCTCCTGTTTTCTTGTAATCTGTACCCTTAATTATTTCCAAACTTGTATGTCACTTCTCCAACACCCCTTCTTTTATTATTAACAAAATAATTATATATATATATATATATATATATATATATATATATATATATATATATA